ATTATCTCAGATAGGGGGTACTCAGTTCACTTCTCAGTTCTGGAGGACATTCCAGCGGGAGTTGGGTACGCAGGTGGAGTTGAGCACAGCATTCCATCCTCAGACGGACGGGCAGTCCGAGCGCACTATTCAGATATTGGAGGACATGTTGCGTGCCTGTGTTATTGATTTTGGGGGTTCATGGGATGAGTTTTTGCCGCTTGCAGAGTTTGCCTCCAACAACAGTTATCAGTCGAGCATTCAGATGGCTCCGTATGAGGCGCTGTATGGGAGGCGGTGTAGATCTCCAGTTGGATGGTTCGAGCCCGGGGGTAGGCTAGGGTTATTGGGGACAGAGATGGTTCAGGATGCCTTAGAGAAGGTGAAGCTGATTCAGGAGAGGCTTCGTACNAAAAGAAGAAGAAGAATATTGCAGAGAAAAGTAGGGAGAGAGAATTCTTATTGATTTGGGATGAATTACAATAGAATAGAATCCTCTATTTATAGGGAGAGGTTGACTTAGCCACCAAGTAATAAACCCTAGAATCTCTCTAAATATAGACATTCACCATAAATAAAATTCTATTTATAACACTCCCCCTTGAATGTCTATTCAACAGATAATGTGCCTCGTTAAAACCTTAACTAAAATAAAACCCAATAGGAAAAAATTCTAGAGAAGGAAAAAGAGTACACATATCTAACAATATGCCTTTTGGTTGCCTCGTTAAAAACCTTGCAAGGAAAATCTAGTGGGACAAAACCTTGTAAGGGAAAAAGAGTACAACGCGTGTTAACTCCCCCCTGATGAGAGCATCAATTCACATCCTTAAGCATTTGCATTCCAATCTTGTGCACCATCTTCAAAAGATCTTTGGTAGATATTTGATAAACAAATCAGCCATATTAACTTGAATGAATATATTGCACCTTGAAATCATCATTCTTGATAAAGATGGATTGTCTTCATATGATCTTGTTGGAATCTTCAGTTCAATATCTTCACATAGAGGTGAAACTCTTGCTATCATATTATCATGCATATAGTTATAGCAAGATACATTTGTGCACAAATTGCACTGAGGAAGTGGTACTTCAAGATCAAGAATTGTATATGCTTCAAGCAACTTAAATCCTTCATGGATTGTCATATAAATATAGTCAAATAAGCCATTTAAATAGACATTAGATGCATATCAACTTTTCATGTCATGCTAGACATATAAGATAAATAAAAGTGATTGCACACACTATTGATTTTATACTTTCAAGCGTTTGAACTACATGTTCAAAATTACATGGCTTTCATATGAAACCAATTCTATTTGAATTGTTTCTTCAAACTTAAGATCCTCATATATATTTAGCGCTATCATAGATGTCGTCGACAAACATTTAATATCAGTTTCAATATTTTTCATAAAGATATAACATAGAGATCTCTTCATTCATATATTCAGGTACCTGAATCTCTCATGAGATTTTATGAAGTGTTATGTCATGTGATCTTCTAGATCACTTGCCTCCTTTTGTTATGATCATTTAGATCATTTGCTCATCTTCTTTTCAAGAAGTTTATTTGAAACCGATTTGTCTATATGCTTTAAGCGTACTATAGACTTTGTCTTTCTAGGACTTAATAGGAGCATTTGCGATGAGAATATAGTTACTTTTTTGGGTCAGCAAATGTGTCTAGCATACTTTGCAATAAATTGCACATGAATTATCCTTTTATGAACTTCAAGTTCATATTATCTTATTCGAGGATCTAGATGTACAAGTGATAATTCATTCCACGTAACCTTTTCTCAACTGTTTATCATGTCTCCCCCTCATGTTAGAAAAACTAACTTGTTTCCTCAACTTTGAGAACCCATCTTTGTGTGTTATGGTGTTAATCAAAATATACACCGCACATCAATAATAATAAGGGAATTATTTGGTTCCTGACCATGAACCACTTGTGAGGGGAGAATGTAATATACTTTCGTATATAACCTATATCAAACTGATAAAGATAACTTTGTTCTCATAAGCAATAGTTTAGCTATTAAGTAGAGGCACTTAATAAATTATTTTGCTAAACCAACTGTGATGTAAACCAACTTATCAAGATGAACTTCTTGAATAGAAAATCTGGAAATTATGCTCGAAATTAAATTATTGAACAAGTTACCTCGCACACACCGGCCAGGTTGCGGGTTAATAATAATTGCACATGTAACCATCTCATAGATGCATCTTATGTGGTATACATGGCAGGTGAATGGGCCCATATTCACCTTTGATATTTCAAGCATTCATGGGATTCAATCCCAATTTTAGTTGATCTATTAATTAATGAGAACAAGCAATATAAGAGAATTCGTAAAGAACTTTCTAGTTCTTTAATATTTACCCATGTGAATTATCTATTATTTTTGCACATCATACATGAATTAACATGGCTAAACCAAGTATGCCAACTGGATAAATTATCAATATTGATAAACTTCAGGTTTACACCATGATGTGTGCAATTATGAATAAACTCCAAGTTTATTATGATAAGGGTTTTTATATCAATAAATATCCACTTCATTGTGGTATTCTTTTGTTTATATAGTACAAATTGGAGAATAAAGTGGGTAGCTTTTCACATACATATTACCCCGCTACAAGTTGTAGTAATAGAAGATATTAAATCTTTCCTTTATTTATAGTCTCAATATAATCAATCGCTTTCGCGTATACTTTGGAAACTGAATAAGTTTCTTTGAGACTTACTACAACACAATACCTTATTGGTAATNCCGAGAGGCCAAGTCTATATTGACTGAGAGGGGTCAAGGGCCCCATAGTGAGGGTATTTGATATATATACCGGATCGGGCTGCACGCCGCAGCGAAATACATATATACATATATGGATTGGACTACACGCCGCAGTGATATATTATATGGATCGGACTGCACGCCGCAGTATTATAGCGCTTGGGTTGTAGGAGCCCCTCCGGAGTCTGCACACCCCCAGTGAGCGCAGTCGACTATTATTATTGGATCGGGCTGCACGCCGTAGCAGTGTAAGTAAATTACCGGACTTTGAGAGGAGTAAGTGAGTTGTGTACTGGTTTGAGGGATATTCCCCTGTTTTCCTCACTTAGCTGTTGTTTACTGCATTTGATTTTGATATAGAACTGTGTAGTGTTTTTACGAGTTTTCTTATCTTCAGTCGTTATTTATTTCTGTTATTCACTGAGTCGGAGTACTCACTTTACTCCCTGCACCATGTGTGCAGATACAGGTATCCAGGAGGCTCCGTAGAGTGCTTTGTTGTTGCTCAGATTTGATACCAGAGTTATCGAGGTAGCTGCATGGCGTCCGCAGGACCCTATTCCTCCCCTTACCCCCTTTGTTTCCGCATTTTAGACCTTTACATGTATAGGTTACTACTCGGTTGTATGTAGAGGCTCTAGACTCGTGACACCAGATCCTTTGGGCGTTGTTTTTGGTATTTGCTATGGTTCCTCCGCACTGATTTAGCTGTGATCACTTATTAGAATCATGCTTAACTGGTAATTTAGCTCTGTTATTTGGTAATGTGTTTCGTACCTGGGTTGAGAGTGTTCAAATGGTTGGGCTTGCCTCGCATTGTGTTGGGCACCACCACGACCGGGATTGGGGTCGTGACATATATAAATGTAATCATGAGAGGCATTTATGCATTTATGAGAAATAGAAGTTGAAGGATAAATGTATCTACTATATAATAAAAATATTAAGTGAAGTCAGGATCCCAACACCTTTTTATTATATTTGTGAAAAACAAAAAAAAAATCTCTATTCGTGCATTTTTTATTAGTTAATTCACAACTCAACTCTTTCTGATTTTCTCAAATAGTAATTAAAACAAGAAACATCTGTAGAATAGATACCAATCTCTGTGGGTTCGACATCTTTTTATACTATAATTTGACAGAGTACGAGTCAGAATTATATATACGCTATACACTCGTCAATAAGGGAAAATATTTGTCAAAAACTCAAGAAAACACCATCTCATCATATCTATATCTATATTAAAGCAAAGAAGTTTGCATTATAATTTAGCCAAGTATCAAATTATTAGAATGCCATGTGGCAACATATTAAAAAGACACATGGCAACTTAATTTATTAATACTTATTGCTATTAAAATGCAAGATTTAACACCCATTATTTTCGGCATAATTGACTTATTAAAATGCAAGATTTAAATACACATTTTTTTGCATAATTTTCTGTCAAAGTAAGTCAACATAGATTACGCCTAAAAAATCTGGAGAAGCACCAATTACGCCTAAATTATGAGATAACCTTGTAATTACGCTGAAATATCTTGACAGAATATATGTGGGATTACAATTAGTCCGAAGAACTGGGAATCCAGTTTTCTTTGCTTCATCTAGGCCGAAAAATCTTGACTGAATATATGTGGGATTACAATTAGATCGAAAAACTGGGGAATCTTGATCTCTCTATACAAATTGGGAATTTCAAAAAGCTTAAACCTAACCCGAAAAATAAGATCCGTAATTTTGTTGGATTTGGATACAGAGGGAGAAGAGGAGACATTCAAATGTTAAATTAGTCCATCGCAAGGAGACATTCAAATCTGAAGATGATTTTTCCGGTCGTTTGTTCTCATCTTTTTCGCATCGCATCTGAAGACGTCGACATCTACGCCAGGTATTTCGGGATAACAACTAATTGTGGAATCTCAAATGCATATGCCTCTATTTTACTGATCTTTTTATGGAAAATATATTTTTCGATACACAAATTACCGCATTCCGTATATATCTATAGATATATATATAGTAACTGAATTTTTTTGTAATTATTTGCTATTTAGGGTTTATTTTTCCATACAAAATTTACTGCATATATATATATATATATATATATATATNNNTATATATATATATATATATATATATATATACGGCATTTGACGCCATTTGACAGACAATCCTCTTATAAAGTTTTCTCTAAGAAGAAATATGACGGCATTTGACTATATTTGCAATATATCGAGTAACAAGATGAATTGGAATTTGAAGGTACGAATAGTAAGATTGTGGCATGTTCCCGACCTCGACAAACCAGACAACACCGTCTCCCTTGAATTAATTATTCAAGACGAAAAGGTGCATTCTTTTTTAAAAAAACTCATTTTTTCATACAAGTTTGACTACAATCTCATCTTCTGCTTCAAACTATAAAATTCATTACGTTAAACATGTTTTTAATCAACTTCGATTTAGATTAGTATTTACCGTCAAATATGCTGTGACAACACTGTACTACTGAGTATTTGTCTAACTCAATATTAATTATGAATTTTTGGATTCTAGGGCGATCGCATTCATGCGACAGTTGGTCGGTCACTTATACGTATGTTCAAACCAAAGTTAAAAGAATTGGGTTTGTACGTTATGAAGAACTTTGTGGTTGGACCAAATTATATGAAACTTAAATACACGCGGCATAAATTGAAGTTGGCTTTTACTCATAAGACGATTGTAGAGGAAGCAAATGATCATCTTTTTGGTATGGCTATCTCCGACTTAAAACCTTATGAGTATTTGATAAACAAAATTGATGTTGAAGAAAGTGAACTCTTCGGTAAGTATTCAATTCGCAGTTCTTTTATTTGAATGTCTTATAAACTTTCTCCAAATTATTTTCTTAAATTATTATAGATGTCATTGGAGAGGTTGTAAGTTATGGTGAGGTAGAATCCCATAACCAAGGTGATAAAACCAGCAGTTATATGCATGTGGAACTTGAAGATCATGAGTAAGAATGCATCTATGAATTTACTTTGTTATGTATTTTAACATCATTACTTATCGTTGTCTGATTAAATTGTTATATATTAACATGATTATGGCCGTTGTCTAAGTAAGTTGTTATATAAATTACACAGGAGGAATAATATCTCGGCAACATTTTGGGGAGAATTTGTTGACCAAATATTGCCACATTTACAGGGATCACCCCATCAGCCGGTCATAATTGTTATGCAGTTGATAAAAGCTCACAAATTTCAAGGTATTTCTATTGTATTGATGTTATTGGATAATTTTCTTATGTTAAGTTTTTGGTTCAGAAACTAAAGTTATATATAGGCAAATATTCTGTGTGTAATACTTGGCATGCCTCAAAGCTCTGGATTAACCCGGATCTTCCTCAAGCTACTGATTTTAAGTCCAGGTTAGTTATTTCATAAATTAACTTTATGTGGATACTACACAAATAACTGTTTATGGATAAAACTAATACAAGCTTGCGTCAATACAGAATGGCAAGTGTGAATGAAACTAACTCTGCCAGGATCAGTCAAATACCTTCTCAGCGTAGTTATTCTATTTCTGATGAGTTGGCTACTGGAACTGTAGAAGTTAAAACTATTAGCGATTTGGTCGACTGCATGGAGGTGACTAATCTATTAAAATACTTTAATATTTAACTAATGTTATGTTGTTTATGTATAACACTGTTATGTCTAAAAATACTATTTGTTATGGTGAGCCATGTGCACATATATGTTTTTTGGAAAACCTATTAAGTAATTTTAGATACTGTAGTGAGCCATGTGCACATATGCTCTTACCATACTATTTGTTATGGTGAGCTATGTGCACATATGCTCTTGGCACATATGTTAGGATCCCTGTTGCATACGTTTATGAGCACTACACAATTTCCATATAGAAATATCAAAGATAGAAAGCCAAGATACTTCCCTTTATTAACTTAAGAAGGAATTCCAAAGTGATTAATAGAATTTAGCCTCATACATTCAATAACTCATTTAACATGTAAATGCTTAAATGGAAATGCTTAAGATGGTGAAAGCCTCTTCTGCAACTCCACTGTTTGGGATTTTCGTCGTCAAAGATGAAAATACTAATTACAACCTGCAGGTGACATGCAACTCCAACTGATCAAATTTACAAACTCTTGTGTTATTCATTTTTATTTTTATTTTTCAACTTTGATGGTGTCTACTGCTTTTCTTTCACTGAGCTACCACTAAAATGAGGATTTACATTATATTTTCTTGCATTTGTAAATCATAATGCTGACACATACTCTCAAATTTATAATGTTATAAAGTGGACATTGATCACATATCCACATGTGCACCAACTGATAATTAGTAGAGATAGTAGAGGAAAGCGATGATAAAATACCACTCCTTAAAAAGTAAAAATCTAAAGGTAGTTCAAATTTTCTTTGACATAATCTCTGGACAAACTCATTTTGGTAGGAATTTTCATTTGTAAGAGGAAACAATACCACATCATTTGTAACATGTTCATCTTGGTTCAGATTTCAAACACAACTCATGCTTGTCCACATTTAGGAAAATCAAATTTTCTAGATACATTGCTACAACTTGACTTCTTTTCAGGAAGGACATATTTGGATTGTTGCGACTGTAGTGAATCTTCTACTTGAAAAAGAATGGTCATATTTGGGGTGCAAGAGATGCTCAAAGAAGGTTGACAAAATTGAAAGTAAATTTCACTGCAAGAAATGTGATCGGCTTGATAGTTCTGCCACTCATAGGTTTGATAAGATTCACTATTTACTGTGAAATAGAACTAAAGTTACAAGTTACAAAAATAAGGACCAATTTTACTATTAAATATTAAATAAAACTAAAGTTTCAATTTCTTATTCTAAACGTGTCTTTCAGGTTCAAGCTTCGAGTGCAAGTAATGAATCACACTGGCTTTATATCTTTGTTGCTTTGGGATCGTGAAGCAACAAGTCTCATTGGGAAGTCTGCTAATGAGTTAAATGAAATTTCAATTGAGGTATATTTTATTTATTTTAATTGTTACTATATTTTTTCAATAAAAGTAAGAAAGGTAATTCTTTGTGTTTTACCATTTCTAACACTAATTCGGTCTTAGGCTTCTGCTGTTGTTGATGAGTGTTCTTATCCAGTGGAGTTGTATGATATTCTTGACAAAAAAGTCCTGTTTAAAGTGAATGTCAAGAGCTCCAACCATTTCTAACCTTTATTGCTCCATCCTTCAAAAGAATGAGGTAAATAAGAAATTGATCACATGCAATAAAGGTGCTATTGGATCATGTTCAGTATTGTTTGCCAAGTCTCTTTCAAACATGTTGAGATTGGCAATGTCATCATCTGGTCGTTATGCGATACTACACAGCAGGTTCACGTATTCGATGCTTCTGATGTTTCTAAGTACAGGTGTATTTTGGATGGCAAGGTTAAATGAAGGACTTTCACGCTTTGATGCGATACTTATTGTCCCTATGTTTCAAATAGCTTGGACATTTTTCTCCGTTTGTACTGGATTTGTGTACTTTGAGGAGTACAAGGTGTTTGATGCTTTGAGAACAACAATGTTCATTCTTGGAATTATTTGTGTGTTTATTGGCATTTATTTGCTAGCACCTGAAGATGATGAATCATATCCAAAAGGAGGTGAAGTACTGAAGGATGAGAAGAGGCTGTTCATGCCATCTAAAGACTCCCAAATTAAATATGTAGAGATCATTTGGACAAGTTATGGTGATATAAAGTGCTAATATGTCGCCTAGCATCTAGATTGTCAAGGCCATTAAGCACAATATTGAATTGCTTGAAAAAATCAACATTGAAGTCTGGATCTTTGACATTTGCATGGTATGGTGTAATTCTAATATGAGGCCTACATTTTAGGACAGCCTCTCTAGCAACCTGGAGAAAATTTTGAGTACATTACTTAGGAACCAAATGAAAATGGAATCCAGAAAAAAGAAATTGATGTGATTTCCTTACTTTAGCCTTAGATTGTCTAACATGTTTCTGTCGAAACAAGAATTGTAAGTTTCGGTTTATTTTGTCCTTAATCAAGTTTGTTGCTTTCTACAAATTGCAGAGTATTCCTTGCTATGATAAGTTTAGTTAAAATAAATCGCGCATCGCGCGGGTCCTATACTAGTGTCTAGCTTAAAGCAATAAAGCTCCAACGTATATAACATTGTAGGATTAACGGATAATGAGAGGCTAATGACCGTTACAAAGAAAATTCTTTAACGTTTTGTAACTTTTCAAAGCCATCAAGGCTATTGTTAATGGCAGTGGTTTCAAAAAGAATTTAAAGGCTATGAATGCTAATCAAAGGTTTGTTATAATATTATAATAATAATTATTAATCATGTCTAGTAAAGTATAAAGAATATGTTATAATTTTTATTTATAGATATTAAAATATATTCAATTGATTGGTCTAATAAAGACCCATTAAAAGAATGAACCTAGACATCAATTTGAATATTCTTTTTGAGATATTAAAATTATTTTTTTTGACAATTCCCACATAGCTCAAAAAGAATATTATAATGAAATAAAAGAAATTCGCTGGGTTTTCACAAATGAGCATAATGCGTCGAATCTGGTGTCTCTTGGACTATGAACCAGACCTAGATAAAATAAAATTAAACTTACAGAACAATTGGTGAAGTTTAGAATTTCTATGAACCAAGAATTCTTTGGTAAGTTTAGTGTCTTATCTACCACATTATACATGCACACACTTTGTTGTTTGTCTCGATTTTGCGCTACTAGGCCATGCGCGCGCCTGATTTTCATGAGTTTGCCATGAATTTCATAGGTGCGGCCCCACTCCATACTCATATAGGTCCAACCATCAAGTGTATTCCGCAGCACAATACACCACCTATAAAAGGCTATGGATTATTAGATTAAGAGTTTAATAACTCAGCCTCCCATTCCTTGCAGTCTTGCACTATATACACACACCATAGGAAGGGGCATAATTTAATAGTGCACATTTGATCAACTAATGACTTATTTTACTCATATGAACCTACTTCATGGGATCTCCAAGCACATAGGTTGGGTTACCATTACTGTTGATATAACTCAAATTGGCAATAGTCTCATTCCCCTCGATGTTTCAGATATTCTTCCCAAAGGTTTAGTCAGAGGATCGGCCAAATTCACTTCTGACTTCACATAATCTATGAAAATAATTCCATCTTTCAGCAGTTGTTTTATCACATTATGTCTCAATCGGATATGTCTACTCTTCTCATTAAAGGATTTATTGTTAGCAATGGCTATTACGACTTGGCAATCACAATGTATCGACACAGAAGGCGTCGGTTTTATTCCTAGTGGAATACTTGTCAAAAGGTTCTTTAACCACTCGTCCTCATTGCCAGCCAATTCCAATGCTACAAACTCAGATTCCATGGTAGATCTAGCTATTATTGTTTGTTTAGCTGATTTCCATGCCACAACACCTCTAAGTGTGAACACGTAACCACTAGTGAATTTTATCTCATCTGAATCAGAGATCCAGTTAGCATCACTGTATCCTTCTAATACAGTAGGAAATCCACTATATTTGATACCATAGTTCATGGTACCTCTCAAATATTGATAAGTATGAAGTTTGTGCAGAAACTAAACAAACTAAGAAATCATGTGCTTCCGTACATAGAGAACCTGAATTATTAAGTCTAATCCATACTAATTTAGGAGACTTGAGACAAACTATGAGTAGAGGAGGGGAAAAATTATGTGACATTTATAGACGATTTTTCTAGGTATACAAAAGTTTATTTGTTAAGAAATAAAGATGAAGTTTTTGATAAGTTTTTAATTTATAAATCTGAAGTAGAAAATAAATTGGATAAGAAAATCAATAGAGATAGATATGATAGAGGTGGTGAATTTATTTTGTTGAATGATTATTGTGAAAAATAAGGCATAATTAATGAGATAACACCTCCATATTCTCCACAATCAAATGGTGTAGCAGAAAGTAAAAATAGGACATTAAAGGAAATGACGAATAGCATGTTTGTTAGTTCTGGTGCCCCGGATAATCTTTGGGGTGAAGCCATTTTATCTGCTTGTCATTTACAAAATAGGATTTCCTATAAGAAAATGGGTAAAACTCCTTATGAGTAGTGGAAAGGGTATCCTCTTAATTTGAAATATTTGAAAGTGTGGGGGTGCATTGCCAAAGTTATGTTACTCGATACTAAGAAAAGAAAAATAGGATCTAAAACATCTGATTGCCAAAATAGGATCCCACTTGTAGTAGTTCCCAATCACTAATTTTTGTTTGGTAGCGTCTTCAGCAGTGTACTTTGTTACCATTGACTCCCAAATCTCTGTTGCCTCCTTGTATGAAACGTAGACAGCGAACAATTCGTTAGAAAGAGTAGAAAGTATAGTATGTCTACATACCTTATTAGCATGAACCCATTGATCCATCAGAATGGAAGTTGCTTCAGTTGGCTTAGGATCAGTAAGTGCAAAAGCAACTCCATGCATATCTAAAATAAGAATGCACGCGTTCCTGCCAGCGCTTAAATTATCTCCACCAAAAACCTCAATTTTCGAAACATTAGGGAAGGTTTGGCATAGATAATTGGCGATGGAACAACAACAGAAATAGTAGGTGCAACGGGTGTAGTAACATCAACAGCAACATTAGCAACGTTATTCTCCATAGTAAGAACATGGATTATAAAGAATAGATTTAGCGTGAGGCACAAGGACACTGTCCTTAAGGATATTTCGTCCACACCGGGATGAATAAAATTAGACGTATCCCCCAGGATTCAACAAGCTCTTCTAGTATAACTAGGAGCAGAAACAACAAAGATTAACAAATTAAAACCCAGCACTAAAAAAATATATAGCAGAAGTTTTTACTCTTAGTTTTTTTCACCCCTCAAAGCAAAAAAGTACTTGAAATTTATAGATAAGAAAATACCATCTCATCAGATGGCTAGCTTAAAGCAACAAAGCTAACATTAAAGGATTAACAAATAATGAGAGGCTAATGACTGTTACAAAGAAAATTCTTTAACGTTTTTGTATAGGGTCAAATTTGACCCTCAGTATCTCTACGCCAGTGGGTACGCCCAATGAGTGTACGCCGACCAACGTAGCGGGTACGACTCGGCCATGAGGACCAAAGCGACGTCGTTTAGAACTCAGTGTCTATACTAGGGAGACGTTACCTATCTCTGTAACTTTTTGATTCTTTCGAGGAAGGTCTCCTATTATATAAAGGAGACCTCCACATTGTAAAAAGGATCATCTGATCTAATACAACTCTCTCATTTTCTGTCTTTCTCTCTCTATATCACTACTTCTGACGAAAATACCTTATTAACATACATTGTCACTTTGCAATATTAGATCTACAACAATATTATCATCTTTGCATCTCTAGGTTTATTATATTTGATTACGATTTACACCTTCTCTATTTTTTGATTGTTTTATCGCTTACAAAGTACATCGTTAACTTTTGAGCCAAATAATTTGGCGCCGTCTGTGGGGTTTTCGAGAATCAAAACCATAGTATCCACCTAGAGATCAACCAACTACTACTCTCTACACCACTCAAAAACAGAAAATGGCCGAAAATAACACAAGATCGAAAGCCATATTGGGTGTCACTACCAATCTCCTGGGCCCTCTCAACGAGGCCAGTGACGATGGCATCCTGAATGAAACCCCTAGCATCACACCAGGTGCAGAGATCTCACCTTCCCCATCCGAAGGCCTGACGATCTTGCACGAAAAAGGAGCTTCCACATCTGCGGCTACGGAAGCACCCTCAGTGGTCAAAAAGCTACTGGAAAGATGGCTAACAAGCACTCTAAGTGGCTTGGTTGAGAGGTCACCGCAAAATAACATCGTATGTGCACCAACAGTAGGTACCACTGCTGCAGTAGGTGAACCGGAAGTTACACTGGTAAATAACAAACCCATCGAGACACAGACCAACGATGGCACGCTAACAGCCATCCTAAAGAAGATGGAAGAAATGGAAAGCGAAAACAAGGCGCTCCGCGGTCAGATGAAGGAACATCAGGAGAGGGTCGACAAGATCCCCGGCGCTCCCAAGTTGCTACCAAAACGCGACGTGGGAAGGTTCGTTGAACAACCATACACCGAAGAAGCTGCTCCTCACTCCACCCCAAAAACCTTCAAGATGCCACCCTACTTAAAGGTATATGACGGAACCACAGATCCCGAGGATCATCTGATCCACTACGTCACCACTGTGAAGGGCAACAACCTATCGAAAGAACAGGTACCGTCGGTGCTGCTGAAGAAGTGTGGCGAGACGTTGACAGGAGGGGCCTTAACATGGTACTCTCAGCTACCGGCTAAGGCAATAACAACGTTCGAGGAAATGGCGGATAAATTCGTCACAGCCCATGCAGGCGCGAAGAAAGCGGAGGCCAGGGTCAACGACATCTTCGCCATCAGGCAAAACACAGGATAGGGACTCAGGGACTTCCTGGCAAGGTTTAACAGGGTAAGGATGAGTCTACCAAATGTATCGGAAGGTATGGCAGTCGCCGCTTTCCAGAACGGGCTAAGCAGAGATGGTTCGAGGGCAACCAGGAAGCTACTGAGCCGCCTCATGAAATATCCCCCTACCACATGGGAGGAAATCCACAATGCCTATTGCGTCGAGGTACGAGCGGACGAGGATGATCTTAATGGGCCGACCCAACGGCTAACAGCGATACACTCAGAAACG